GCAGCAGCCTCTCACCACCTTGCCTTTCACACTTTCGAGGACTGTAGCCTGGCTGTTGACAGCTTCGTACTGCTGCACATTACTTTCCACACATCCGCTGCACGGAAGCGGCACCCAGAGTCTCTGCCCTTCTCTCGACACATCTCCGTCTGTTTGTGCCCCCTTATGACTGCCGGCTCGGGAGACTGTAGTCTGTGATTGGTTTCCCATTTTGCTCACACGTGTGCATGCAATTCTCCTGTTCCTCTTTTTTTCTTTATCCCGATATTCTTTTTTTTTTCATTTGCTACATACGCCGCCGCCACCACCGCTTCTTGCTAGCGCAGCACTTTCGAAAACAAACACCTATTTCGTCCGAGCCAAGAGCGCTGAGAAACGGCGTCCTCTTGGTAGTTTTAGCCTACCGCAAATAGTTCAAGATTGTACTCTCATGTGTCAATTAAACAAGACTTTGTGTCGGACTATGCGTTTTTTTTAATTGGGCTTACAAACTACGCAGACTTTACTAATTCAGGGTAATTGGGGCAGTGGTTTCGGCTTTTTTCAGCTCTGACAGCGTAACTTTTGAAATAAATTGGGCGCGCCAGAATAGGCTGGCCGAGAATCAAGGTATCGCAGGCGTCAGCACTCACAGGGAAGCTGAAATGCATGATAGTGTGGTGCTAATGGTGATGGTAAGGACTATAGTTAGTCGAGTCACTAACGTTAGCCTTTTTCTCGCAATTGGCTGCCAGACAAAAAATAGACTATTAGTAGATAAATAATGAAAGATTTAACGAGGAGGGATGCAGTGTAAGGTTGCTATTTGCGCTGCGGTCATTGTAATGGTGCCAGTGATGAGGACGACCAGTGTCGCGAAAGCGCAATTTTCAATTGCGACTGGTTCACACTAGACTGTCACAGTACACACCTCGCTCAGCCGCCATCCTCCAATGGTAAGACGGATGGTGAGGTTTCCATCCAGTCCTCCGTCGCCTAGTTTCAAAGTCAGGAAAAGATACCCATGGCATACAGAACAGTGTCTTTGCTTAACGCTCCAGTTGGAGGTCTCCGTGAAAAGTGTAACTCCAATCGATATTGATTGCTAATCCTGATTTCTGTTGTGGATGAGTGTGTGTTCACAGTTTAACCTACGATTGTATTTGGATGACTGCAAACCCGGTGTCTGTGTTCGCGTTCCACAGTTGGGTTTATTGGTTGCTGCGTAAAGATACCAGGCCTCGAGGTGTCTACTTTATCGGGTTACGCTTTCCTCCGTTTCCTGGGAGGCCAAGATGTCCCAAAACATTGCTGAGTGCTTTTTTCGGGACAACTGGTCGACTATACCGAATTATGTATTGTTGTTCAAGAAAACATTTTCTGGTGAGTTAACTGTGGAGGCCTTTTACCCTATGATGACTAGAGACGATCCTGCCACGATGACGTGGGAAAGTACACACAAATGCCGTTACGTTCAGTAACATCAGGATTTCTTTTAATTCCAATAACCTTAATGTAAGCAGATACCTTACAAAAATGCAAACAGTTCTGGTATGTTAGTTGGCCATTTTAAACTGTGTTTTCTATTGACGAAAGTCACTGAAGCAACAGACTTGCCGATTTTGATTAACTTCTGTACGGGGAAATAACGGAGAGAAACACTGCCGCGACACTTCGACAGCCCAGTTCAAATGTCGCGGAATCAATTAAGACACCATAAAGATCACGCACACGATCGGAAGACATGGCGGGCCGTCGTAGAAAATGACACACTAGTTTTCGAAGATAATCCGGCATATGAGGCCAAGGAGAGATATCACGAGTGGAAGATGAAATACCCACAAACGAATATACTAGCGACCACTCCGGCTATTGTATTCTCAAGGCGAACGCATATCCAGGGCTTGCAATGAGCTTACCGACAACTGTGGCATCCATCGCAGTGCTAACTACACAGATGGGGATAAAGAGCATTTTGAACATTGACTAACTGCTCCACACACATCGGACTAGGATCATTCTGATTTTAAACGTTCGAGGCGTCTCCCACAGTCCGATTTTTCCCTCTGCTCCAGGTCACGGAATTCAGTTCAGTTACGAACAGACTCTGTCAGCCCGTCTACGCCTGTGGTTTCAGTCATAGTTTTTGTTGCCTACCGAATACTAGAGGAAACGGCAACTTACACAACATTGCAAAGTGCCATCCCTCTAAAAAAAACCTGTGCGGCTAATTAAAATATATTCGGACATCTGGACATACTTTCTAAAACCAGCCCTTATAGCTC